TTATTGAGTTGGTGTCAGCTCCTTTGTCGTACGTAACCCGAGCCCTAAAAACAACTCTTTGGAAATTAAGGGAAGAACTGTACTTGAGTCCCACTAATTCTGAACTTTATTTCAGTAAGTCTCAGCAGAAAGCAAACAATCCGTATGTTTTGATGAATTTGGGAATGACAAAATGGAAAAATGTCTTTAAAAAAAAAAAATAAAATATGTGCTCATGCCATGTTCACAGCTAGAGACTGCGAGAGCACGTGAAAGTCCAAAAATAAAACTTGACTAGAAACAAAAGCAGAAGTTTTTCCTTCTGTCTAAACGAAGGGAAACATAAACAGTGAAGTACCAATAGCAAAATGTCGATTCCATTTTCAAAATATTTTTAACAGTGTGCTGTAAAAAGCAAGAATAAAATGTATCCTATAGCACTCTGAAACCACCAAGAGTTCAGAATAAAAGTGTTTTTCTGCCATCAGTAAAATCATTCATACATGAGATTTCTGAGGCACAAGCTTTAAACTGAGAGTCATTTAAAATGCTTTCTGGATGAGAAGTTACTCTCACACTGGTTTTATATGAAAATATGAATTACTGTTAAGGGACGGCTGCGTGGTGCTCTGCCACCCCTGGAGCTCACTCCTTAGCAAAGAGAGCCAAAGGCAAGGCTATCAGGCAAATTAGGAGCTGCTCAAAGTACTGCTAACCTGGCTGCAAAAGGGCTGCTTCTGAAAAAATCTGTATTTGCAACATATTCGTTTTTATCGCAAACAGCAGGGTCGTCATATATTCTTTGTGGAGGTGTTGTGCTATAGCAGCTGCGTGTAAATCCCAGTAAATGAGGTAATGGGGCAAACTTCACCTGAAATCAAACCATCCTTTGTCTCCCTGGATGACAATATTAAATAGGGCAGAAACTGCTACCTGGACCAGGACTGCTCAAGGAGTAACCTTCTTTTCTTTTGCTGTTAAAACCCAAATTCAATTAGTTCCTCCACACTCAAGCAGAACTGCTGCTGCTGAAATTGTACTCCAGCAATAATTGCCATCCAAGAGTGATCTAATTATATACAAGTCTCAGTGGCTGCATTCCCACGTTGCTTCCTGCAACCCGGATTCACTACAATACAACTCATAAGTGAAATCCACATCGTTTTCATTCCTTCTCCCTTAAGATTGCACGGCTTTATACATGTGTAATGAGAATGGAGTTAGTCTATTAGTAAGCTTACCATAAAAACTCAAGTTTCTACCTGCTGTTAAATACAAAAGAGGAGAAAAGGCACTTCAGCTGCATGTAAAAAACCAGCTGATGGGCTAAACTGTACAAGGGAAAGAACATTCTTTTAATTAAGGTACTGGATTAGGATTCAAAGACCAGCTTTGCTTCTTGGCTCTGTCACCAGCTTCCTGTGTGACCCAGGGCAAGAAATTTCATCACTCCACAGCTCGGGTTTTCATCTCTAAAATGGACAGTGACATTTCCCTCTCCTGGCCTTGCTATATTTCTGTTGTAAGCAATTACTGTGTGCTGGCATGTTGCCCTGGACAGTAAGTATCCAATATTAATTGAAGCCTCTGGGTACTACTCTAATAAAAAGCTAAAATTGTCTCGTCTCCCTTTCACAGCATCCTGGTGAAGTTTTTTGTCACCAGCATTTGCCACTACTGCAACCTAAGACATCTCAGCAAAGCCCTGCTTCAATCCCCACTTGGAAATGCAGAAGGAAGGAAAAGGCTGGGATATCCCAAACATTCAAAGAATAACTTTGTCCAGCACAGAACATCCTGGCCAACTTGAATGGGCCATTCCCTGCTAACACAGTCACTGTGCACAAGAATCCTGAGCAATAGAGAGGCTGCCAATGACTTGCTGCTTCTTTTTTCTACAATATTTTCTACTCCCACTGTAAAAAAAAACACCTCAGTGCAAGGGTTTTGCCAGGTCTGTAAATCTGAACAAGACCATCTGAGCTGACTCTTAAGAGTTCTTGCAAGTAATTACAAGGTAAAAATGAGAATACTTCACACCTACATTCTGACTGAAAACTTCTCAGCCCTGCTGGCTCCAGGCTTTTAATTGTCAAAAGAGTTCAAGGTTTGGAAAGTTATTGGCATATTCCTAACTAGCATTGTGTCACTATTTGGCACGATTTTTGCTGGGATACCTCCCAACTCTGTGACATAATCAGAGGGTTCTCTACATTACACCATATAGTCAGATGCTCATGTTAGTGTAATATGTAACCATGTTTAATACCATTTGCTATTACTTACACTTAATCAGCTCTGGAACCAGTTAAACCATATAGGAAAAGTAATTTCAGAGGCTTTCAACTGACAGTTTTCTACACAGAACATGACCTAAAATTATGACCTGAAGTTTGTAAGATGTGGTCTATGTATGCAATTGCCTCTAAACAAACATTCATAACTCCCCACAGCCCTGTGGGAACTGAAAATTCATATGAAAACTGAAAAAAGGGCATAAAGTTAACTCTGTAGAACTGTCTCAACTAGAAAAACTGTCAGAGTTTCCCCTTCTGGCCAGCCTTAATTTACTGCTTCAGCAATTTTTATGCTCCACAATTACTGCAAGCCTCCAGCCACAGAGGAATGGCTGAGCACTCCAACATCAACCCCCCTTTAGGTGAAAATCCCAATCTCTTGAGGGATTCACACTCAAAATCAACCAAAAGTGCACATTCCCATGCACAGGTTTTCAAACAGACTCACAATTATGCCCTCTAACTCATCAAATGAAATGAAAAAAAAAAAAGAGTGGTAAAATTACTAAGTATGCAGGACTCCAAAACACAGGTTGTGACTTGCAAAAGTAATATTTGGACTTCTGGTTTCATCTCTTACAGGACACAAGCAGGGTCCTCTGGGTGCCATCAGCTGGGTACCCAGCACCCCAAACCTCTCATCACTTCTGAAAACCCCATTATTTACTTTTCTGCCTCTCTATAGGAAAGGACTAGACATTTAAATAAATGACATAATCCTTACTACCATTCCATTCATTCATGCAGGTCACTATAATTTACTGCCAGGAAAAATAAACTTCTGCAAATATTCCTCAATGCAAGACATTCAAAAGGCTCAAAGCAGGAGAGGAGGTGAGAGGGCTTCTGACAAATATTTGCTCAAATGACCGCATCATCCATGAACACATTTGCCAGGGAAAAAAAAAATGGGTGAAGAAATTTATGGTCAACATGAAACACGCCAGGCTGGGACAGGAAAACGAAGAGGGGGTAGAGAAGGGGAAATTTTAACCAGTTTCATTTCAGCAAGGAAAGGTTGTGAGTCAGGCCTAGAGCCTGGCAAGCCCCTGCAGGAGCCCTGGGTGAGGTGGTCAGCAGAGAACCACGGCATGAAGAACACAGCTCACTACAACCACCAACAACCATCCCCGGCTGCTGCTGCTCCCTCCATAAACTTTGTTTAAACAAGTGTTTGAACAAAAACGGCTTTGCCAGCCACCCAGCTCACCTCAACCACACCCAGAGCTCACTCTGTGACAAAAATATTGCCAAGGCTGGGGAAATCCTCGCTGCTTTCAGTGTTGACTGCCCAAACTCAAGTACAGGTGAGCTGCGTGGTTCATGGGCTCTGAAGGCTTGAAAGCACGAGGGCTGGTGGTGGGGCTTTAGTCTGACAGCATCCTCATCACAAAGGGATCTCTCTCCTCCTCTGCTCCACAAAGGCTAGCTCTCCTTGGCATTTTCACAGGGAATGTCTTCCTTCTGTGCTGCCCAAAAGCTGGCACTTGTTTTCTCTTGGATTTGGGTGTTTCCACAGATTTAGGTGGTCTCAGACAAAACAAGGCACTACTTTTAGAGACCATCCAAAACAATGCAAGGGATATGTTTTTATTCATGGAAAACCAATCAAGAACCAGGGAAATTAACGTTTTTGTTGCCATTTAAGTCATATAAGCCCACACTTACAGTAAGATATTCCACAAAGAATCTATGGAGTTGGGCTGTCTATCAAAAATAGCATGCAATAATCAAATTGATTTTTGCTTTCAATAGGGATTGATCAAAAGTTCTATTCACAAAGCCTGTAAAGCCCATTCAAGACATACTTCAGAAACCATGGATCAGATACCTAAAGGTCCTATAAGAAAAGCCACACTGGTTATTTTGGACAGCAATGCCTTCAGAGTCAATAAAATTGCTCATACCCATCCAGGCCAATCGGCAAGACTAGAGGTAAACAGAAATTGTTACTGAGATTTCAAGCTCTAATTTAGCTAACCAATTAAATAAATATCTGTAAGCCATATTAAAGCCAACAGGATTTAGGTATTAATAAGGCAACATTATTAAGCCTGTGTTTAATAGCCTTGTGTAATCACAGCTTTGCTACTACTTAAAAATTCACACAGCTGTTTAGAATTTGTCCTCAGGTAAAACACTTCTTCAGAATTTTTATCACCTGTGTTTTGGGGACTGCTCAGAGCCCACCCAACAGGCTCCAGTCAGATCTCTGTTAGAGCGCTGTGAGTGCAAACTGCCTTTCCTGAAGCTCCAGATCTGCTCTAGCTGCAAAGTCAATATCTGGCTTTTCATTAAAAAAAAATATAAAAATATTCAGATAAAATAACAGGACTCTAAAGGATTGTTTGACAGTTTTCATAACTGCAGTTATTAAAACCTATGTTAGTACAATTGTACAAGTAACAATTAAATTGTAATACTAATGATTAAAATTGCACCAGCATTTATTATTTGGTCGTCATGGTATACTTGTGGGTGGATATTACACATGGATATTACACATCTTGCCAAGGCAGGGGCAGATTAATCCTACAGACACGAGTGAGACAGATGAACACATAACAGTTATGAAGCAATCAGCCATGCAGTGAAATCTTATCTTCAGAGTACCGGGAAATCATCTCCAAAATAAACGCGGAACGTATCGGCTCGGTTCTAAATGCTTTAATAGAGAAAGTCATTAGTGAAAAGCACTGTCCTGCCCATGGCAGCTTCACTTACCAACCACATCGAGGTGGTAGGTGTGGTTGATGGAGCCGTACTGGTTCTCCACGATGCACGTGTAGTTCCCCTTGTCCGACGGCACCACGCTCTCCATGATGAGGCTCCAGTGCTGGTTACGGACCTGGGGGATGCAACCAGAGAGGTTGGGATCTTCTCAAGCAGAGTTTTACCCTCTCCCCTTCCAAAAGAACTGTTCCCTGAACGATTAACCTTGTGTAATTCACAGTTGAAAGCCTCCTCTGTGCTCGTTTGATAGTTCTGGACACTGAAATGATTTGTGCTTGGTCCAGAGCAGCACGGCTGCAGCAGTGAAAGCTTTCACACCTTCTGCTGTAAATTTACCTGATCCAAGCACTGTGGGTGCCAGTGCACACTCAGTCCTCCCAGGCTGACCAGGATGGCACCAGTTAGCAGTAGTTGTCTTACTGGACTTCACTTTTCAATCCACTCTAAAGTGAATGCACACCCTCAGGATATTCCCCCTCTGTCTCCAAACAGCCACCTGCTAATAACTATCCATCAGCAATACAGGATGGATAGGATCCCCTAACATCTAAGTCTCCATCCTCCTTTAAAATTAATTAATAAATATAAAATGAAATATAAAAAATATAAATATTTTATATTTATTTATATAAATATATATACATAAAGTAAAATAAACTATATTTTAGTTATAAAATAAATATTTTATATTTTAAATAGAAATAATTTATTTCTATATAATTTATAATTATAAATATATATATAAATAATTATAATTTCTATATAATATATATTTATATTATAAAATATCAATAAAAATTACACAGCTCATGTTCTAGCGAATCTGAGGGGTGATGTTTGGGATTCCTCCCCCAGACCTCCTGCTGCTCTGGGTACCCCAAGAAAGAAATGAATCCTAGAATCATGCTGCCTCATGAAAAATGCCTGAAAAAAGGCCTCATGGAAACAGAGTGTTAGGATATACATTTGTCTCACAGAATCCCTCTCAGACAGAATGTATTCAAGGTACTGATTCTGTTCCCATTTGAACTCCAAAGGAGCTCTGGCATTGGTCTCACAGAAAATAGGATCCAGCCCAGGATACAGAGCCATCCAGTACATACATATATTTCCTGTATCAGAAATTGGCTCCCAAAATGACCTTCTGCTGGCTATGGACTAATTCCTTGTTTTAACATTACATCTTTGACAAAGTGCTCAGAAAGCTTAACATTCTCTGTAGCTGCAAGGTACAATTCTTCAACTGCAAAGTACATATTTCAGCAAATGGAATAAAACACAGTCTGGAACAGTCATTTTAATCAGCCAAATGGAAAGCAGTAACTCAGTGCTGTGCACCAGAAGAATTTATGGACCATTCAGTGACACTTCCAGTAACCATACATTCTTAAAACATCATTACAACTACAGTTATGAAATCCTGCATCGTGCCTGACTATTTTGTAGTTCCTTATCCAGCAAGAAAAGCTGCACAGGGCCACATCCCAATGCCAGGAGCACTTGCTGGAGGTAAAAAAGTCTTCGGTTCAAAGCTTGGAAGAGAAGTTCTCTCTATAGGCAGCTCCTGGCTTTCCTAGTTCCCCCAGCTAGTAATTATCTCAATAGCTGGATATGTGTATTATTGCCCAGTTGTGGACTAATAATATTAGCTAATGGCTGGCCATGTGGGCTTTGAAAAGCAAAGTGTGGGCAAGACTCCAGCAGCAGGAGAAGATGCTAAGCTAACGTCAGAGAAATGTGTGAAACAGCCTCAAAATCTGCAGCCCAAACTTAAGGCTTCTCTCCTCAGCCCCTCATGTTGATGGTCAAACAATTATACTGATTTCATCAAAATCAATATAATTGATTTTTCTTCACACTGTGAAGAGCTAAGGAATAAGTTTATAGAACCAGAAAGAGTTTATCAGTGTTATTTCAACATCTCTTCCTTCTGCTAAACAACTCTGAAAGTCAAAGTTTGGGTCAGGAAGAACTGCTGTCATAAACTGTTGGTAAACTACAAATACAACAGCTACACATTTTGAGTATTTTACTTCTTTGTGATTTATTTTGAAGGACACTTGGTCAAAGTGACCTGAACTTTCTGCCATTACAAGTCAAAACACTCTTCTCGGAATCAGAGCAAGAGTTTTTAACCAATCTGACCGTAAAAACAGGAAGAGCAGATAATAGTTCCACAAAAGTTAAAACAAAAATTGTAAACAAGCTTCAGGTAATTAATTTGACAGGAAAATGCAAGAAATTGTTTATTTTCATTAAGAAAACATAACTAACTTAGAACCACAAGTAGATACACTGGATCAAAAAGTATTTGTGCAATTTCCCTTCTTGTAACTGCATGGACAGAGATAATATCTTTATAACAAAACAACAGCTTAAGCCACTTTGATTTAAGCTAAACAACTGTTGTAGAGGTCCAAAGCAGTTATGACACATTGTCAGACAAATGGATTTATGTCAGGGATCTGGATCCAACGAGATTGTTGGCTCAGTGCTTTGTGGCTACAAGTGCAGCATTGCGAAGACCAGGAAAAACCCCCTTTGCTGGGAATGAGCAGCCTCTTCTCTCACTGAAGATTTCCAAACTCAACATTTCATTCCCAGACATGCAACAGAGTCCAGCCACATCCCTGCACCCACACAGCTTGAAACACAGGCTTTGGTAATGTGGCCTTTTTAAATTAAATGCCACATCCCTTAGTCCAGGTTTTTTTCCCAGACTCGTTATGGACTCTTCTAGCAAATCACTGACAGCTTCTCTGGGGGGGAAATCTTCTCCATCAAGTTTTTAACCACTCTTCCAAGCAATCTCTCCAAAAGATTCAATTTTAAAACTGAATTATCAGTATCAAATGCATACAAACCGCACCCTTAAGTTATAGCTTGGAGGTGGGAAACCAACTGGAATCAAAATGCCAAGACATATTGGTCAGGGAACTGGGAAAGGGCAAGGAATTTTTCATAGAAACTTTTTGCTTTTGGAGTATCCCGTAAAGAGCAGTGGACAGTTCTGTTCAGTCTTAAAATGTGTGTCTTCACTGAAGAGACAACGTCATGAAAAGCTGTCACTTAGCTAAAAAAGGATCCATTTTAAAATAAAGTCAAAGGAAAGAAGGATTAGAAACCAAAGTACAATTCTCCACAAAATTGTTCAGACAATTTTGCAGCACAGTTTCAGCACATTTCAGACAGCAGTACAGTGGTACTGCTCAGATAAAGAGAACAAATACAGAACACCCTTGGCAAAGGCCAGAGGCTTGTGCAGTTGTTCTTATAATCAGAAATTTTCAAAAATCAGGTAAATAATCTGTATTTACCTGGCTGAATTTAAATGTGTTTAAGACAACTGCAGTGATGAAGCTTATCCAAATGCATAGGTGAAAACACACACGTGTTAATGCTTAAACAGTAACAGCTGATAGAAGTGCATTTGCTTTCTGGGTGGTGTACAGGAAAGAAAAGGCTCCTGTGGTCTCAGAGAGGATTTAGATTATCAACTCAAAGAAAACAGAAAATGCCTCTAAAGACACAAACAAGAGTTATCATCACTTCAAAAAATCTGAGTAAAAAGGATTTAGATATTCAACAACTGGTCCTGTTCTCTTTATTTTAAGGAGGTTGGGTATATCTTGAAAGATCATAAAAGGATCAGTTTTGAAACTCACCACCCAGAATTAGTCACAGTGCAGGAATTCCACCCTGGAAGCTATCTTGGCCAGCACATACACCCTCCTGCTAGCCTGCCTGAGTGCAAATTGACTCAAGACATTCCCCAGTGAGGGACAAAGTGCTACAGGCCACTATCTGATTTAGATAAAAACAATACACCAAGGCATTTCTCAGCTCTTAGCAGGAAAGAGGTGGCTGAAGGCTTATTGGGAAGCCTCAGGTTTTCTTTCCCTTCCCTTTGTCCCTTAAGGCTTCAGGGGATGATTGTCTCTTCTGTCAGATATGGCCAGGTTTGGTTCCAGCTATTATATCCCAAAGTATTGTGAATATCTCCAGGGAGAATGCCTTGCAGAGAGCAACACCCAGACTCAGGACAAGAGATTTACCATGAGCTGCTGTGATGCCTTGTTGAGCACAGGCCAGCACTGATAGACTCAGACCCTCCTGAGGATCCCTTCATTTAAAGTTCATTGCAATAGTGTGGAGAAAATGCAATTCTCTCCCTGTTCTAGGATAATTTTGCATGAGCTCACAGAGACTTTATCCTGCCCCTCTAACAGGCTGAGGAGACAGGTTCCCAAAGCTCTGGAGAGCTTTATTAAAAGCACTATTTAACACCCATTCACTGGGAACAAACTTCTATCTTCAAAGATGATTATTCAAAATGACACAAAATAGAATATACATGGATTTGGTAGATTTGACAATGGTAAGTAAATCCTACAACAAAATTTAAAATTTAACCTATTTCTGAGCAACAAGAAACTCTGAAATCCTCAGCTGTGTCCCCTCTTTTTTTTCCTTTGGACTAAAGAGATATAAGAAGTTAAAATTTAGAATTAGACTTAAGACTTCACATATCCAGCTGGCTTTAGGAACAGGCATCTGTGGCTCCTTCCCAGACTACATACACACCTAGGGAATTGCATACATTTAATACACGTGACCAAAAGTTTAATTTGTGCCACTTAATGGGCACAGCTCTAAATGATCTCACCCAGCTCCCTAACACAGACCTGCAGTGCCAGCACAGAGCCCCACACCAGCTGATTTACCCCACCAAGGATCCCCCTCCCAAAGCAGACACCAGGTATCTCCATCCTGCCTCTCTAGACACACATTTTCCTTCATGGCCTTCAAAAGTAATATCTTCATTTCCCCTTCATCAGATGCAAAATGTTCAAAATAACAGCCTGGTAACTACCAGAATAGTTACTATTATTTTCCAAGACAGGATTAGTTTGGTTGAGGGTTTTTTTTTCCTTAATTGGCATTTTTTTGGTTTTTAAACAGCACTGAGAAGGGCAAAAAGCACTGAATTGGAGCCTATTCGTTAACAGTCCACAGCCTTATGAAAGGCAGAAGGTGTTGCCAGGTGTACACTCATAAGCAACCGAAATTTATGGTGTAAGCAAACATAGATGGAAAAGTCTACTTAGATAATTAGTGCTCATGCGGGGAGGCTTTCTGGGCTCTGCTCTCTGCTAACACAAATGTTGGAAAAATTGACACTTTCTGCAGTAAACCTAGCTAGAGAGGAAAGGAGGCTGAGGCTTGTCCTCCTCTGCACTGGAAAACAGATTTTTTTGCACCGAGCAGGACCTGAATCGACAGCTGACAAAGCAATGGCCCAAGCAAGGCAGCCCCCCAAAAACACCACAACCATGGGGGCAAGGCAGGGGTGTGGGACTGGGGGGCAGCCTCAGGACTCAGAATTGAGCTCTGCCTAGCAAAAACAGCTAACCTGTGTCTAACCACCATGGCAAACTGCTCGGAGCAGCTCAGCACAAGCTCCAGGCTGGGGATTCCAGCCCTGACACAAGGCGACTGCCTCAGAAACTTCTCCTCTTCGGGGAGGAGTCGGGGGCGTGAGGAAACCGCTGAGAGGCGACCCACACAAGAGGTGAAAGGAAGTCAGAAATGGCAATGCTTGAACAGCAATTTGCCATCCAAGTCACGCATTCCCAGTTCCTCGGAGGAGGGGGATCAGATGACCGAATCCTGACTTCTGACCTGACCTAGGCAGATACTGGGAGGTTAAAGGTCTGTGCACCAACACACAGAGCGAGCTGGCCTCCCTAAAACTCTCTCTTAATCAGTAACCACCAACTCAGAACAAGACATCTAATCTGAAGCCACTTAAAATTCAAACAAACCCTTCCAAGTAATTGCTGTTACTTTCCCTCAAATTCTTCTTCCCATTTCAGTTTCACAGGCCATAAACTCTATAGAAAATAATAACTTTTGACTTCCAGAGCTTCCTTTATTAAACTGCCTTACACTCACCAAAGCGGATGGTCATGTTTTTAGCAATGCAGCCAAAAATGAATAGAGCAAAACAGTCTTAATCTGCTTTGCTAAGTCAGTCTTTGGTTTTCCAAATACGCCTCTATAAATAATCCTTAGCTGTACAGCTAGGCTAGCAGCTTAGCTTGAATTTCAGAAAAAAAAAATAAAAATATAGAATTAGTGCTCAGTAACCGCCAAAGAAACCACCCACCCTTCCCCAGAAGAAAACAACCACCTCTTTTTGCTTCCACGTTTGATCCAAGGCCATTAAAAGATTTTCTGTTGACTTCAGCAAGTTTCTGGTGGGTTTTTGGTTTTGGTTTTTTTGAGGGGGAGGAGGGTTGGCTTTGGGTTGTTTGTTCTGGGTTTTTTTTTGGGTTTTTTTTACAGCTTTGGTCAAGAAGAGAAATTACAAAATGCCATCGTGAGCCCTCACCTTGTACCCGCCGATGCGATGTTCCTGCTTGAACTCCTTCCCGTTTTTCAGCCACCGCATGGTCGGCGTTGGGTTCCCCATGGCCGGGCAGCGGAACTTGACGGTGTTGGCGGCCGGCACGGCGTGGAGCCTCTTCTCCATTTTGTCCGTGTGTGTCCAGTAAGGCGCCCCTGTTCCAAAGGGACACATCCAGAAACATCAGCACCCGGAAACTGAGCTCCCTCTGCAGCCCCTGGCAGCGGCGCAAAGAGCCGCACGAACGCGATTTAAGCGCGGTTTAAAGAGTGCGCGACTGGAGAGCACATGCTGCAAGCGTCAGCCAGGGTTTTGCAAACGGCTCGGTCTGCTGCTCTGGGTATTTAATTTGAGACAAAATTCCAATAATTAACCACAGACAACCTTTGTTTTGCGTATGTCAATAAGACACGGGGTTTTCATCAGGCCCTTTTGACCTCGAGCTGAGTTACTGTGATGGTTTAAACTCAGAATTTTTGTGAAGCCAGACAGAGCAAGACAGAAGATGCTTGGAAACATCAGCCTTTCCCTTTCCCCTTTTGTGAGAAGGGGGATAAAAGCACCCATCTGTCTGACAGCACGCTAAGGCCCACTGTGAGCGATGCCAAGGTGAACTGCGCTGCTACTGCCACAGGAAATGTATTTACAGATGGAACATACTTCTGAAATCTTAACCCAAGCGGAGGAAAACGAATGAGTAAATGTGGATCAGCAAAAAACTTTGATCATTTTGGAGGGCTTTCCCACACCAATGAGCCTCTTGAAGCCCAACGGGTCAGGAACATCCAAAAACATGGCATAAAATGAGAGTGCCTCTCTCTCAACCCACATTTTCTGAGGTGATCACTTTTCCCAGACCCTGGCATGGCTCTCCTGGCTCTCACTCACTCCTTGCCGTGTCCTGGCCCAGCCTGTGCCCACATGAACATCATTAGAAAGCACATTTGTCATGTACCAGTAGAGGAAACACAGCAGAACAAAATTTACAATTACCCATATGTTTTTACCCTCACAGAGTTAAACTTGGATACCCAGACCCAAAGACAAGGTTATCCCATGCTCTGGGGATCCTTGCACCACTTCATCTACATTTCTCAACATCTTTATAGCATTGCTTCAGTCGTCTCCTATAACAGTTTTTTTTTAAAAAGTTAAAGATTCAAGATCTGTTTAATAGTAGGAAACATTAATTTCTTTTACAATGGAGTTTTCCTGAAGCAAATCAGATTAGCGTGGAATTTTTAGGACTAGAGGGGTCCAGAAAAATAACTCCATTTCTCTGAGCCCTGTTTCATTTCCTTCATTAGCAGGCCAACACTCCACTATAAATAAACTCTTCCGTTCCTCAAATATTTATAGCAGTTCTTACAATCAGTGCAAGCTCACAAATCCTGCTACCCCCCTCTCTAAATAAAAATACAGCTGGACAGAAAATACAGGAATAAATCCTTTAACAAAGTCTCTCTCAGTATAAAGAAAACATTCTAAAAGCAAGTCCTATAATGATGCTATGAACGATAAGTGTTTGGGTTTGGTGTTTTTTTTTTTCTGCCCGAAGTGGCAATTAGTGTTAAAATTAATGAAGTAGAAAAGCAAAGCAAATTTGTGCATGTAATCAAAATAGAAAATCAAGTAACTATTGAAAATTTAACTGCAACACTAAGAAATTGTTACGCAGACTAAAGTGAATTAGGGATGCAAGGGAAATCGCTGTTAACATTATTTGCTAAAAGCAGGATCACATTAAAGCAACAGAAGACTTTAAACAAAGCCAAGCAGAGGAATTAACTGCTACACACAAAGGCCAAATGACATTACAAGTACACCAGGCAAAGGCAGAATTACATGCTGGTACTGAGGGATTAAAAAGCTGTTTTCCCTGGACTACTAAAGTCTTCCACAAGGCAACCACTGCTGGGCCCTACTCGCAGCTCCCACAAAGTCAAAGCAAACTGGGGCAGGTCAAAGACAACCAACCATCCAAACCAGCTGTCTCAGCACCCCAGCCAGGGCAGGGTGCTCACTTTATCCTCCAAATGGGTACTGCCAACCCAGCAACTCTGCAGCCAGCACGGTCACTTCTCATCACATCCACACATGAACCTTTCTCACATGTAGGGAGCACAGAGAGCTCACGTGCAGCCACTGGCAAGCACAGCCTCTGAGCCACAAGCTCCACAGCTCAGCCCTGGCCAAGCTGCCCTGCAGCCCAGGGGCTGGAAGGGTCAAGCTCTAGGAAGCTCCCATCAGGCTGCAGACTGGGACCAGGGCACTGGAGTCGGTCCGGATGCAGCCACCAGCAGCTCCCCAAACAAAGCCAGGTTTGTGCGGTGTTATAGTGCATCCCATCCTCTAGTTTTCTCAAAAATAAGTATCCTTCCCATCAATAATCTGCTCCTGGAGAAGCTCCAATACAACAAATGCACAGAGGGAAATCTCTTGACAGAGATGGGTGCAGAAAAGAGGCCAGGGAGATGCAGGCAGGAATGAAGAGAAGCAGCTCAGTTCTGTCCCACAGAAGGGGAAAAGGAATTACCCAAAATGGGAGAAAGGTCTGTTTGGAAAGCTTCCCCTCACACAACCCTCAGCATAACCTGAAATGCTTCTAAATTACAGGTCACCTCGGAGAAAAACATGTAGACATCACATATGGAAAAGACCATCTGAAAATGCTTCAAGACATTCTACATTGTTCATTGTTAGCAGCATGTTCAAGGAAAAGAGGAAAAGGCAGCAACATCCACAGACCATCACACTTCCCTCAAATTGTGCTTTCATCCAGCAATTGATCTGATTAACACACACCATTCTTCTTTATAGATTAAATCATCATAATCTAAAACCTTTTAGTGCTTCTTTTTGTCTTGAGAGGAAAACCACCGAGCTTCACTAAAACCCATAATGAACATAGTTAATGAGTAGGTACCACCAGGTGCTGACTGCTCCCACAGGCCATGTCCATCACATCCCATCACTGCTACCAGGACAGGTGGAAATAGGTGGCACCACTGCTAAAAGTTCACAGTAACCACAGGGCAGACTCCAGCATGAAGCACTAAGGAGCAGCAGGGGAACGGGTGGGAATTCCTGATTGCTTTTAGAGTTCTCATTAGTGAAGAAAATATCCTGCTGACCCACACTGCACAGACATTACATCTAATCAGCCAAATCTCCTGCATGTGAAATTGAAATTAGGAAGCCCAGGGGACCACTTCACTTCAGGACTCTTCAGTTTTTATTTGGACTTATCTAATACAAAGAAATACAAAAGCAGTCAACTCCAAGCCTGCCTGACAAGCACCTCAAGCAGGCAATAGAGCACCATAAGTGACCACATCAAACCCCTCCAAGGTTTTCAGTGCTATTGTATTTGACCTTTAATTAAAAAACACTTCTAGGCAACATCCAATTTTTGCTGCTCCCCTGAGTGGGTTTCCACTCTACAGGATTTGATGAATTTGAACCTTGCTTCATCCTTTCTGAAACTCTTCAAGGCATGAAAGGAACAGCATGTGGATTACATTTAGATACTTTTTGTTCTTGGTGCCAATTTACCATTGCTTGGCCCAGAAGAAATTGTTTAAAGGGCGATAAGAAAAAAAAAAGTCATAAAGCTGCAAGTTGCCTGACCAGAATTCAAGGCAGAGCAGCAGCATCTTCAGTGCTACCCACAGGTCTACAGAATAAATTTGCTGGTGGACTTGATTGCAACCACCGCAACAGCTGCTGCATGGCCAGCATCAGGTCATGATTATAGAAATCCCTCAAATTAGGGCTAACTCTCAAAATCACAGTGAGGACAAGGCAGTAAGTGTCAGCAATGTCTTTTCCACTGCTGCCAGAATGATGCTCAGCACCTAAGATTGTAAAAGCAAGTCCTTGGAGATGACCCTCCAAGAACCAAACTAAGGCCCATCTTTAGGGTAACAAAGGGGAAAACTCAAGCTGCCAACAAAGCCATTTTGTAGAGAAAAGGGACTGTTTTGCAGTGGAACCAATCCTGCACCTTCCCCATGAGCACTAATCCACTCAACAAAAGCTGGAAGTAATAAAAAGCCATTCAGGATACAGTCTGGAACAAATCTACCAGTGTTTTTTTCAGGCAGTTGAAGTATCTGTCAAGCTAAAGGGACGGCAAAGGCAGAGTGAAATCTCCTCTGCGAGCCTCTTCCCAAAAAATACACCCAGGGCCAATGGGGAAATGCACGTGGGTACACACCAGTGCCCTGCTCTCCCAAGGAGGAGCTGCTCCTCACATCTACAGTCACCTACAGCCTCCACTGACTTCAAGAGCAATTGTGTTTTCTGGGCAGCCTTGAAAATTACACTAGACTCCCTCAACAGCCTCTCCACCTGCATTTGGAAGTATCTGGCCTCTGAAATATGTATTTGTAACAGAGGCAAAGAAAATAAAACAGATTAAAAGAATGCTTAGCACTGTAAATAAAACAGCTCTAAAAGGTTTGGTTTAGTTTTAAGTATGCAGGAATGAGAATGCCAAGGTTCAGCTTCCTGTTGAAGGCACTACAGCCATTTCCTGCCTCATCTCATCATAATTAACATGCCAAGACAGCTGGACTTTATCAGAATTGTTTCATCAAAAAGCAACAACCTTTGAAGACTATGGTCTTTTGTTTCCATCAGTAAAGGCATAACCAGGCCAATTGCCATTGCTTATCCTTAATGATCACAGCTGTAATTTGTATGTAAATTATCAGTTAAATCATTTGAGATCTGCAAAGCTCAAACCATGATTGAGGAAACACTTAAAAGACTTCTGTAAAAGACCCAGCAGCCAGGAACTCTAGTGAGGTCATGGACTTCCCCAGGCTCAACATCCCATAGGCAGGGAAGGTAAAGGGCATTTGGCCATTGTGCACCACAGCAAACACAGACACAGCTCCCAGTTCACTCTCCCTTGTAACCCAGTATCTTCAGTTGGATGTGGCCTCTTGGGTGCCACAGAAAATCTGAAAGAAGGCTTACAAGGCACTAGACACACCACGCCAAGTCCCACTCCTGACTTTCACGCATATCTCATCTTGCCAAATCACAACCCTATTTCAGCAGCCTTGTATTAATCCAAGGGAGTTACTGTGATGCAGCTTTTCACTGAACACAGAATACTTGGATGGACAGGGTGCCGCGACCCTTCAGTCATTGTCCTGCTTCCAGCCCAGACCCCAGGAGGCCGTGCTGCTCCCTCAGCAGACAGTGAGCGCCTTTTAAAGAGCAATCCAACCAGGAGTTGCTTGTGGAACACTGCTCAGGCCCAAATCTGTCCTCTGGCAGTTTCCTCCCATCTCCATGGCCGCGCTTTCCCCACCATCCGCGATGTTTAAACGTTCGCGCTTGAGAAACATCTTTCACTCAGAGCAGGGAAAGTGTGCCTGGCCCCTGCTGCAGCACACACCCCTGTCCCAGCAGATGAACACTGTCAAGGGCCTTTCACCAGCTCCCCAATCAAGATTGATTAACAGTAGCTTAAAATGATAGCTCGTTTTACAAGAAGGTCATTAGCGCAACCACTGGGCACCGCTCCCTGTCGCTGGAAGGGCAGGAATCCTTCTGAGCCATTACAGAGCACAGCTGCCTTGAGAGCAAGTCCTTTCCTCATTCCAAAAGCCGTTTATGCTCACAATGGATCACCAAAGCCACCCTGCAGACCAGAAGCACAATTGCCACCAAAAATATTGCGAGCTGTTTTCTGAAGAACGCCGGTAAAGCTTTAAGGAACGGCAAACATCGGAAATGTTTCCTAAAAGGAATTTCTAACCACGGGTCCATTCCAGAGCAGCTCTATCACTGCCCAGATGGGCGGGTTTTGCCTAGACAACCTCTTTTAAAAGCAGCATCCCTTTTCCAAGCTCTCCAATTCTCTTTGCCACTGCATTCCTCTGTCAGGGCAGCCTCCAGCTGCCTGATCTCAGCCCCTTCCAGAGGCACCTGTGCATCAGCCCAGGGTTAATCACACCAACAGATGGCAGAGGCCAAACAGGCAGCTAGGAACTTATATCACTTTAAATAGCATCTAACGTTTCACAGCCTCAGGCCAGGGGCAGGCACACACAAAAGGCACTGAGCAGGGGAGCCGAGATGAGGCTCGTGCTTTACCACCTGAACAAGTGCTCCGAGCTGCAGAGCAGCTCCTGACCAGGCTGAGCAGCAAATGCACTCACTGCACTCCCTGCACTCCCTGCCCGCTGTGGGTGCTGCTCACCAACACCTCCCACAAAGGATTTCTGTGCTCTCCACATTATTCACCAGGCACCAGTGACACCAAACCACCAGCACCGAGGGGGTTTTGCAACACTGCACAGGGACATAAGGAGCCAATATGAATTTTACACTTCTTTTTTCCTCTTAAGAGAGTGCTCTATTTAGAGCTTATTAATAGCTTTACGAATTCTCTAAAGGGGATGAAGTTTAACGCATTCAGATGGGTTTAAGACTCTTTTAGCCCATTTTCATCACGCATAAGTAACATAAAATGTGGGTTTAACACTGAATTGCTTTCTTTGCAACAAACCTTAAGGTCCTTTGCAGACAAAAGAAGCTCATTGTCTCCAAATTCATTCTCCCTGGGGAGATTTCTGCTGAGATTAGGGATTGAAGGACTTTCCTCATTACAACTTTTTTTTTTTTATTATTTTCATACTACCTTTTAACAAAATGAGCTGGATCTTTGTTTCTTGTGTTGAATTTCTGCTCAGGTTCAGGAAAAGTTAGTTCATCTGTGAGAGGCTAAACCAGACAAAGACTGAGCTTCGATTCAGGAAGAAAGGAAACTGCAGAAATGCCAGGAAGAAGGGAAAAAAAGAAAGTACAGACCAGAAAAGCACGTTCAAAAGAATATTAGTTTATTTTTTCTTTTCTTTTCAAAGTTATGAGCCACACGAAACAGAAAACAGAGGAGGACAAAGAGACCACTATTTGACAGTACATGCAGTTAACAATCAAGAAGCTCTGAAGACAGGAGTGCAAAAGATGGGACATAATTTTCCACGTGGATCTTGCTAGTGACTTCTGGCAGTTCGCTGTTACTTACTCATCTGGTTGCTGTCATTCACAAAGTCCTCGGACCCATCATTGTCATCTTCATCATCACCAGAGGAAAGAGCATCTGCACATTAAAAACAACCAAGTCTTTAAACCAGCCTATTTTTATTTTTTTTTTACAGACAAATAAACAAATAAGCTACATCTTGGATTGTATAACAAGAAGAACAAGTCTTTAGGTTAGTTGTGCAGAAGCTAGAGAAAAAGAAAATCCAGCCAAAAAAATGTGCTATTTCCATGTAAAACTGCAACAAAGCTAGCTAATAGTCCTGAAGTGCTACAAAGTTTCCCAGGGGAGTTTGCTAAAAATTGTAAAAATCTCTTTCCACTTAATATTTTAACTCCTGCTACAGAAATGCAGCTGAACAGAACTAAGCATCTCCAAAACAATTTATGTCTAAACTTGAAGGACGTAGAACACACATTTTCCTCTTCTGGGGGAAAAAACCTGTATTCATTCTACTGGCTTTATCATCATCACAGCAACTCTAATCCTGCCAGAGTGGCATAAAACAGAGAACTCTACAGCAGCTGTTAATCACTATGGAGCAAAAAGGAGTAGATACAAACTGAGCCCATTTCAGGGTCAGGACAAGGAGATAAAAATCCCCAAAACAGCTACAGAACTCATCTTAACTCGCTGTGCCCAAGTGGACTGTTCCATGTTAGGTCATAATGTGTCTTAACATCACATTTTACAGCTTCTGCATGCAAAAATCTGCGTTGGACTCACTCACCTGTAACATTTACAATGAAGTACAGAGTATCACTGTCTAGGGTCCTAACAGCAGTGCAAGCATAGAGGCCCGAATCTCTGGCTGTGGCATCCTTAATTTGTAAGTACTCCCCAATAATCACTGTCCTATTGTCAGGCCCCAAAGGGAGCCCATCCTTAGTCCAACTGATCATGACGGCGTCTCTCAATTGACAGCGCAACTCAAGCGGCTCTCCTGGAAGTGCTGAGTAAACATCTGGCTGAGAGATTTGGTATTTGGTTGGCGGCTCTGCGAAGGTGGAAGGAAAGGAGGAAAAAATAGAAGAGAAGGGAAAGGAGAGAATTTCCAACACAGGTCAGTGAAAGCCCTTTTCATCCACGGAAATCAAGTTATGTTAAATTAAAAAAAAAGTTTCATCCAGATTAGCCCAGCATTCTGTGTTGTAAAACTGAACCACATGCAGGTTATTTTCAAGAAGTTCACCACAGGTAAAGCTCAAGCACTTCTGATCAGTGTCTTGGCATGTCCCTTGTCCCCAGTGCCACACCAACACAGGACTCTTCTCACCGGTCACAGAGAGCAGGGAACAATGAGGCTTGCAGAACCTGGAGGCTTGTAGGAGCAGGAAGGGCTCAAAAGGCAAATTCCATTTTCTGTCTCAGCATTTGGGTCCACAATTCAAATGAATAATTATCTTTCCCCATCTAATTTTATTAGAATTTGCTTTTTAATTTTTAGAACCTGGGAAGTGCTGTTTTGAAATAAAAGGATGCCCAAAACCTCCTGACTCACTAAGCTAATAAACATGAGTTCCCATGCACAGCATATACAATGTCTTTTATTTTTCTCCCTTTGCCCCTCACAAAGTCTCTACATTTGCCTTCTACACTACCAGCACTTCTCTCCACAACAGTAACTTTTTTCTTTAAATCCTTTTTTTGCTTCCTGACTTATTTCACAACCTCTCCCAAGTGGAACACAGCAGAAGCCCAGGAGCACAAGCAAAGCTTTCAAAGTACGCACAGAAGTTCAGAACGAAGCGGCTCATCCATCAGCTCCCTTTTGTAACCCAGTAACAAGAAAAATGTCAAACCACAGTCTTTTTTTTTAAAAGAGAAATCCTTGGAAAACTGCATCTGCCTACAGTTACTAGAGCTTCATCCCCCCCTTGTAGGGCCAGCTCTCAGCAGGGGGAAGGAACTGCAGCCCCAGGAACTCCAGAGGTAAGGCTCAGCACACCTATGGACTCAGGCTGTCCCACATACAGGCACTGCTTCTGGAACAGGTTTCTCCCTACCACCTCACTATCCCTCTCCCAAGGGCCTTGCCAAGGGTGGCAGGAATGGTAAATAAAGGAAAGAAGCACAGAGGCATCTTCTGTTTGCTCGTGGGGAGGGTCAGAGCGCACAGACAGCTGCTCCCCGCGCACCCCAGACGCGTCCTGCCCTGCACAAGGCACCAACTGCACCTAGGAATAAATAAAACACCTCTCTGTCTGCTTGGGACTCTGAGGGAGTACTAAAAGGTGACTCTTTGATGGCCACACTTCCTTCTAAGAATGTCAAAACCCTGAAACCAGTGTTCCTCATCCTTGGGTTGTCATTTTTTGTATCACACTTTCAGCAGGGAAGCCTGAAATGAGCACCACATCTGAGCAGGCCTGTAGATGGGAGTCTGGAAATGCTGAAGTTCTGTCAGCAGCTGTGTGCAGCCCTGCAAGGAGCAGGGAGCTGGACATGGTGGTCCCCATGGGTCCCTTCCAACTCGAAATGTGATTCCATGAGCACCAGAAGGGTCCAGCATGGTGGGGAACTCGTGCATGTAGATACCAGGCTCTACTGATGGGACCCAATTTCTCTCCTGCTCACCCTGCAATCCTGTCCTTGCAGAAATGTGCCCTATCAAAGCTTCTCCTGCCTTTCTCATTAGGGCAAACATGGTTTCTCAAAGAACAGATTTGACACACACGACACCAAGGTGACACATAAAACCCATCCCCACACAACTAGTTACAGACACTGTAAAGCTTCTTGGAGTTAGACTTTACAACAAGGTCTCTAAACTTTCTAGCGTGCACAGTTCCATCTCAAGAGTCTAGGACAGGCTCCAATATAGATTTATACCCCTTATAAACTAATTCAGTCTTGCTGATACAGTCATGAACCCACAGGTCTGCAATGCAGGTGTTTCCCTGAGCGCTACATTATGCTCTTAGAAATTGAATTTCCAGAAGGAGCTCCTTTCTACATCTATTTCATCACAGTAATGACTGTGTTTGAATCTGCTTGAGAATTTTTTTTAATTAGATTTCAATGTCAAATAAAAGAAGGTACCTGAAACCAGTTACCTAATTTACTTTGAAGTTAGTAAGACTTCTTTGTAATGTTCTACTTGCAAAGAAAATTTCTTTTACAGAGTTTACACTGTGCCAACAATGTACTGGAGTCTAAAAATGTCTTTGTTTAAACTTTTTTAAAAGCCACCTTGGGTGATGATACCTCAACCCTCCTTGAAGTGCATTAGAGGCTTCTGCTGAACAGTGCCAGGAAACTCACAGGAAGAGCCCACACACAATTAAAAGGAAATTAAATTGAAAATAATTTTTTAACATCACATCCCTGATTTCACCTCTTTTTAAACTACTACCCCCAAATTTGCACTGAGTCTTTCAACACAAATCCAAACTTGAGAACTGCAATTTATTTCAAAATTACAATTAAAAAAAATTCCTTTTACAAAGGAAATCACTAGTACACTAAAGGAAAACAAGTTTCAAACAGGTGTTAGTATTTGGTATATATTATCCTCCTCCATTTATTTCTCTCTAGAGTATCAGGGAAGATGGAGCAAAGTGTTGTCATGATATAATGAAGTCATGTTTGGAAATCGTGAGTTATTTCAGGTAAGCCTTTATGTTGCCAAACTAGAATGTAGCAGCACTTAAGACTGTCACTTTTTATAATGTTTGCCTATAAACTTTTTTTCCAGTGTGGGTTTGAAATGGTGCCCAAAAGCAAACAGAGAACAGGTGGGATACTGAGGCATGAATCTGCCCAACAGCTTCGCTGCGAAAATCAACCAGTTCGAACTGTTCAGAAATTCCCAGAAGCACATAAACAACCTATCCTGCTGTGTTAACTCTCCCTGGGACACTACACATGGATTTTTCCACTGCTCTGAAATTTAGGGACAAATTTTGAACTCATGTCCATGCTGTAGCATCAAACCAGTGTCTCCCCTGTGGCTGACAGCAGGATTCTTTCCCTGTTCCCCAGGCAAGGTTTGATGACCTGCTATCACATCCAGCTCCTCCAGCCCTCATGGAAGCTCTGCCTTGGAACTGAATCCTCAACCATCACCAGGGACCTGTGAACCAGCACTTTGCCAGGTTTGTCAGATTAGATAGGAAGTTTTTACAATGAGGGTGGCACAGGTTGCCCAGAGAGAGGGTGGATGCCCCATCCCTGGAAACATTTAAGGCCAGGCTGGGCTCTGAGCAGTCTGGTCTGCTGAAGATGTCCCAGCTCATTGCAGAGATTCCTTGATTGTAAGAAGGCACAAGATTCCTTTTTAAGCAAATCCTGTACCATCCTGTGGCATTGGTTCCTCCTGCAAAGGTGCACTACCTGACATGAATTACCTGTGTGTCACCCCTTAGAGCACCAAACAAGCAACAGAGGCACGTGCAGAACGACTCTGGCTGTTCTTAAACACTGCAGGACAGGGGACACTGCTTCTACTCTTTTCTGCTCTCAGCTACATCCTTATTTGTAATAGTGGTGGCACACAATGTATTTAAACTTTATAGGTGGAGCTGTTGAACAATACTGCCATGGAAAACCAAGCTGCTGTTAAATAAACAGCTGTGAACTTTTTCTCTGCCTGCTCATACAGCCTCACAGCATGGTTTACGCCATCCAGCCATCAAGTGGAGTAAACACTGTTTGTATAAAAGCCATGACCACAATAGAAGACTGGGGACACTCTGACTGCTCTATTTCAGATTATTAAGATATGCAATTGTATTCCAAATCATGTTTCTGTTCCAGATTCAGTCACTGAGAGATTTATACTTCCTTGGGTTTTAAATTATTATCCTCATTATTATTATTATTAGTCCTCATTTAATAAAATGTTAACAAAGAGCTGCTTATCTTAAGTCTCAAGTCATTTAGTTACTTAGTTACAGAGCCAAGTAATGAAAGGATCAGCTAATAGCTAACCCCAGCAAAGATTCTCACACAACTCTCCAGAGCACAAAAGCCTCAGACCCCATCAAGCCACTTTCACTTCAAAAGGCTTTAGTAAATAACTAAACACTCACCACAGTGTGCCCAGAAGGGTCAACAGACCTGACCTGTCAAGAATCCAAGAGTTTCATTGCAAAAGTGAATGTCCCCACAGGGAACGCCAGCCTGCCAACCACCACCACTGCTGCTGCTTCTCCTACCCCTCCTCATGCTTCTCCTGCCATTGAGGGAAGTCCAGCAAGACCACACTGGACGAACAACATGGGATGGGGATGTCAAACAGGTCTCATGACTTTGCAAGTCAAGCCCAAGGCTTCAGACTCTCCAGGCAGCAGCCCAGGTGTCACCAGTAAGGTGTGCAGCATTCTCTCCCACCTCCCAGGGACAAGATGAAGGGATTCTCCCTTAATTTAAGATTCCAGACCAATATTAAGAGTATCTCCTTGTCCTCTTCTGACAGTGGATGACAAAATCAGCCTGCAAAAGACACAGCCACCAGTTTAAGAATGCACAGAATTACTCCTGGCCATGGTGACCATCTCCCATTAGCCAACAGCAAAACAAAGGCTCCTTAGACAAAGGGGCACAAAACAGCATTTGCAATTCATCCATCAGCTGCTCCAAAGGCACTGGATTCCTGCTGTCCCATTTGTTCTGTTACTATCAGCCAGCTGCCAGCTCTGCCCAGCTCTGCCTCCGCCAGGCACCATCAGGAAGTCTCTGTTCTGATAAAACACTTTCCTTTCCAAATTGCAACAGCTCCTCCCATAATTTTAAAACACTAACAATTTATTTTTTTTAAATGCCTTGTCCCTGAACAAGCTTCCAAAGAGCACAAATCATTTCCCCCCATCTAATGCATAATTAGTTGCTCAAATCTGATGAAAAAGATCTGGGCCTTGTAAAAAAGCTTCAAACACAAAATTTGAAAGAGCTATCCATGATAGTTACAAGCATAAATATGTGGCAGATTCTAAGTCTTTATTTGTTCCTTTAACACAAACTCCTGGGCTGCTCTATTCGATGGACTTTCACAAA